CTCTATGACCCCTTTGGCTGACAATTGCCGGTTGCGAGAGCGTTTTATTGTAGAAACAGTATACAAAAAATTAGAAATGTGTTAGGTTGTAAAATATAAACTTAATTCAAAACTATTTTGCAAAAATTTTAGCATAAAATATAAACTTCTATGTTATTTGTAAAGCTTTTGAAAGAACATATCTATAGCAGGATCTAGCTATAGCTCAGTTGGATCCAGGAACATAATCCAATTTTTCGAACCCCCTTTATCTAAAAATGAAAATTTACGCCTGCATTTTTTTATTATTTGTCTATTTAGTATAGTGTGTTTTATAACAAGTCTTAAATGTAGTCGACACTAAAATTGTAACAATGTGAAATATAGAGCCAACTTAAAAACAATAGTCAAACTTTGGGTTGAGTTTAAATGATTTATGTATTTTGTGTTACTTCACAAAAAATTGCAGTCCGTGATTAGAAAACGAATTATTACGGGGGAATTTTTTTTTTTTTTTTTTTCATCATGGAAATGTTGTCATGAGAACCAGGTTGTAACCACTTACTGAATTAAGCAAGGAATGTATCTTTGGTCTTGGATAAAGCTCGGATTCAAATTTATAAATTTTCTTGAAATTCTGATATTCTTTTCTCATTATTTTTGCTTAGTTTCAGGATATGCTCACTTGATAAATTTTCCTAAACACTTCATTTAATATGCACTTAAGAAGATTACGCAAATTTTATAAAAAGAGTTTTATTTCTTTCTTTGAAAAATTTAATCGATTATTGAAAGATTGACTATTTGCTTTACTTTCCTCAGCTCAGTTTAAAGTATTTTTAGTAACGTAATTTTCGTTATGTAATTTCATTCAGTTTATACATTTTGATTAATCAAGTAGACGAACCTGATTTTTATGATAAAAGATGCAATAAAATATGTTCTATAGGCAGCTATTTTGTTAAAAATTATTTAAACAAAAGATATCTTAATAATACACATGCTCCAGCACTTTTAAGCACTCTGGAAAAAAAAAAAACTTTATTTTAAACCGAACTAATTGAGAGTTAAATTTTTCCTAACCTGCAATTTAATTCTCTCGCTTTTGTGACTGTGAGGATGGAATTGCAATTACAATTTTCGACTACTTTCCGACAAGCAAGAGTGCTCTAATCTTTACTGAAACTATGTAGAGGATGTTCGCTCAATCGTTTCCTGATAGCTACGAATAGAATTTCTCATCAAAGGGAACTAACAGTCACTAAGCATTTTGGACATTTTCCAACTAGCTAGTGTGTTTAAATTTTATTTGGAATTCTGTACTAGATAACAATACAAACTTAAATCGTTTTCTGACTATTGCAAACAGAATTTATGGTCCAAATGGAATTTATTGTAAGTTACGATTTCGACCATTTTTTGAAAAGTTTCCTCACAGAGTTCAAAACTAAAATGGTGACAATAAAGAAATTGGTTGAACTATTATCTTCTTAGTTCCACAAACTGGTATCCTATTTCATCACCAGATCGCAAATCGATTACTATGTGAGATGCTGACGCCCGGTGGCTGAGCGGTAGCGCTTCGCGCTGTCGTGCCACAGGTCCCTGGTTCGATCCTCGGGCCGGGCAAGGTTGACTCAGCCTTTCATCCCTTCAGTGGGTCGATAAATGAGTACCAAGCATGCTTGGGAACTAAACACTGGGGGTTCCGCGTTCGGTTGACCACCTGACCGGAACATCTGCTCATGCACCCCAGAGCCCAAGGTCAAGAAAACTGAGATGGGCACAGTAGGCCTTGGCCCTCTATGGGCTGTCGCGCCGCTGAGTTTAGTTTAGTATGTGAGATGCTAAAGTGCTCGAATTTTATTGGAGCTCTGTACATGATGCTAACAGAAGTTATTATTTCTTAAATGTTGAATTGAAACCACAGATTCCCCACGGGAAATCTTTTCCCACACATTGCTTGAAAATGATGTACCTTATTTTTTCTCTTTTAGTTTTACTAATCTTTATTTGCTTTTTATTTTATTATTTAAATAATCTTATTTATTTATTTTTCTTGATTTTTAAAACAGGAATTTTTTTTCTTTGGAAACGTTTTAAAAATATTGATCTTAAAATCCAATTAAAATTGAAGTGCTTAAAGTAATGTGAAATTAAAAAAAAAATGATTCAATTTAAATATTTATCCCTTCAAGCCTCACAACGTGCTAAAAACAAAATGCCAAAATAAATAAACCGCCACTATATTTCCTTACATATACATTTTCTAACAGAATTAATATATTTCTTTACTGATGTGAAACATGTTATGTGGTAGTTTCTTGTTTTTTAGAAAAATAGGTGCAGATAGTAAAACTATATCAGGATGTTGATATTTTTTTTATTGAACTCTTTCTCATTTAAAGACTAACTTAATATTTTATACTAATATCTGAAAAATAACTGAAAAAATGTAGTGTTTCCGTATATCATTGAACATCTTCAATTAATCTCTCCAATTATCAAATCTTGAAAATGATAACAGTGCACACAAAAATTGCTAATTTTTAATCCAACAATGAAATTTCCCATAATAAGATGCAATTTTCTGAGCTTGAAGAATAGATACTAAATTTCTAAACAATCAGGGGTGGGATTTTGAAAGTAAATTTAAAAATATATATATATATAAATATATATAAATATA